CTTAAGGCATTGCAGTGGCATCCCAGCAGAAAGATAACAAAAGCAAAAAGTGCAAATAAATGGAAAGAAACACTTTCCTAATATTTTCTAGCAGACTTCAGATTTCCACTCCATCTCATTGGTTAGAACTATATCACATGGACACCCAGTGGGATAACTGGTTGAGAAATGAAGGTTTTTTTGTTTTTTTTCTTTCATCTGACAATATAGATGCCTAAAAATCTATGGAGTTGGATATTGGTGAAGAAGGAAGGAAATTGACATCAAACAGGCATTTAGCAGTGCCACCATAGATAAGTACTACTATTATTCTCATTTTGCATGAGGAAACCTAGACACTGAGAGTTAAGTAACCTGTCCAAGGTCATCTAGTTAATATGTAGAAAAGCTGGATACAAACACAGGCAATCTGATTTCCAAAGCCTGAACTTTTAACTCTGTGCTAGGATTTGAACCTGAGAGTAGAGGGAAAGGCAGCTTGCGGCAGGAAGATAGTGTTAACAAAGGTGCAGTGAGTGTGTGCATGTGTACGTGTGCACATGTGTATGTGTGTACATGTGCATGCATGTACACTGAAACCCTAGACACTGATCATGTGTGATGTTCTGCAGTTCAGATGTGTCTAGCAGTCAAAGATGTATGAGCTGGAGGTGGGTTCTGATGGTTTGCAGTTAGAGAGTTGAGGGACTTGAATCCTGGGATATTATGTACCTAGGTTCTTGTTTGTTTTATGGCTGTATTTGTAGTACCTCCCAGCACTTTAGGAATATTATTGGCATATTACTTAGCACTAGTTTTTAACCCTATAGTTAACACTGTAACATTTAAGAGGATGACCCCAAACTATGAGAGCACCAAAGAAACAGATTTTTCCATGGAAACATGTTACTTTCAAATATTAGCTTTATCTTTGTTTTCTCACAGGGTAAGTGAAGTGGAAACACACACAAAAAAGGTAGAATTAAAAAGGAAGAAGTTGTGGAAAGTGATGAACCACATCATCTTTGGATTACATATTTTTTCACTGTTGTTGTTAAGTGCAGAGATTGGACCATGAGTTGTCAGGTTGGTGTAAGGAGATCATGACTTAGGGTATGTGAGGCTCAGCAAGAGAACATGGCACCGTTCTGAGTGGTGGGCTTTCTGACCTGGTAATGTTCAAACAGAGGCTAGAAGGTTATTGAGGAGCGAGGTTTCAAATTGCTTTCTGGATAAAGTTTGACCAAAAGGACTTCAAATCTGCATTTCAGCAGTCCTGAGTCTGCTGCTAGTTAAGCAGTGGAAAAGACTGTGCAGAGCCTTTGTCCTCCGCACTCAAGTTTCTTTGTCCAATTGAAAAAGCCTAGCAAATGATAGCTATTATTATTATTTCAGCAACCAAGGGAATGCAATTTAACTTAAGGTGCTATGCATTTATTCAAATGTCCCAAGCCTCAGCATACATGTGTCTAGCCTTTACATACATACATATATATGTGTGTGTATATATGTGTGTATATATATATGTATGTGTACATATCCACCTTTATGATGAAAAATAAATTCATGTTTATTGCTGCAGTTAAACTCTGGAACTCTGAAACCATTGTGTTTGAATCCCAGCTCCTCTACCTTCTAGCTGTGAACATAGATCAAGTTGCTTAACATCTTTGTACTTGTTTTCTCACAGGGTAATGGCTATTGTGATGATTAAATGTGTTATTTGTTACCTGTAAAAGACTTAGAATATGACTGGTTAAACATCCAATAAATGATAGTGATTATTATTCTAGACTTTCTAGAAAATACATACAAACACAAAGAAGAACTAAAAATCATGTTTATTCTGAAGGAGAACCACTGTTAATTCTGAGCATATCTTCCCAGACTTTGTTCATGTGCTTGTCTTCTGTTTACGCTCACTCTGGAGTCACTCCAGGGCTTAGGTTTCCTGTGCACATGCATGCACACATACACATGCACATACCCACAAATACACACATGTGCACACGTTTTTACACTTCTTGTAAAGGTCAGAATATGTGCCTTGATACAGGAGACAGGGGAAAACTTCCCCTTTGCCCTCCGAAGTTTTGCTGAAAATCACTGACAAGAGGCATGTTAATAGGAGAAAAGGCATAGACATTTATTAATGTTACATGGGAGCCTTTAGAATGAGCACCTAAAGATACAGCAGAAGTTGTTTATTTTTGTGTTTAGGTTTAACAAAGCATGGACAGCACATAGAAATATACTTGGACAAAAAATATGATCTGATGTTAATAGACTGAGTGGGGAAACTCAGAAAGGTCTGTCTGTTTAGATTTTTCTTATCCTCTCTGAGCATATATGCTTTTTTTGGATATGGTGCAGGGCCCTCTCTGGAATGGGGGTCTTATGACCTATAATCAAACAAGGTAAGTCTAGTTATCTAATTCTTTTTTTTTTTTTTGAGACAGAGACTTGTTCTGTCACCAGGCGCCAGGCTGGAGTGCAGTGGCGCAATCTCAGCTCACTGTAATCTCCGCCTCCTGGGTTCAAGCAATTCTCCTGCCTCAGCCTCCCGAGTAGCTGGGACTACAGGTGTGCGCCACCATGCCCAGCTAATTTTTGTATTTTTTAGTAGAGACAGGGTTTCACCATGTTGGCCAGGACGGTCTTGATCTCTTGACCTCGTGATCCACCTGCCTAGGCCTCCGAAAGTGCTGGGATTACAGGCTTGAGCCACTGCACCGGGCCTTATATAACTCTTTAGTGGCCAGTTTTTGTGCAGTTATAGTGGTGGGAAAGTTAGAGTAAAATTTTTAGATTTTATGGCTGGCTTTGGGTAAAGAGATTCTAGTTTCTATGACCCTCCTTGGGTAAGACAGATTCTAGTTTTTATGGCTAGCCTTGAGAGAGAATGGGACTGAGAGATGGTAGGGTAGGAGAAGGTCGGAGAAAAATTTCTGTTTTGAGGCTGCTTCTGAGGCCTTTATTTTGGGTATTTTTTTCTGAGTTCCAACATTAGATATTCCTGCACAAATATGTGTTCAAGACTAAGTTATGCCCTAAAAGGTCACAGCTTGTTTTAATAGTGATAACTCTTAAATGATGATGGAGTCATTTTTCAAAGAGAATAAATATTTTGCCACTTTTGCATTAATTCTCTGATCAGGGAAAGTATATATTCTAAATTTGATTGTATTGTTTAAATATTTATATTTTCAATTACATAAGCATGGAAAACTGTAAAATCAAAATGAATGTCTTATTTACAAAATCTGTGCTTCAGTTAGAAAGGGAAGATGAGTATAGACATTACAGGCCATTCAGAGAATAAAATAATGTGCATTTTAAAAAGAATGGGGTAATTCTATACACACTGACACAGAAAAATGTCTGTGACTGGGAAAGACGTCCATGATGCTTAAATTAAAAGAATTGTGGAACAATACATACAGAATGACCATATTTATTTATACCTGGTGTGTTCTTTTCCACCAATCTGGGATGCAAGTTAAGACCATATTTTCTTTTTTGAAAAGTTAAATTTTTAATAAACATTATGTTACCTGGTATAATATTATGTATTATGCACTCACTGCCTGGGTGACAGGATCATACCTCAAACCTCAGCGTCATGCAGTATATCCATGTAAGAAACCTGCCCATGTACCTCTGAACTGCCGAGACCAGCTCAGCTGTGGAGACCCCAACCCAGGCAGCGCTGAAGGAGTTAAGAAACAGACACAGAGATAGAAAGCAAAAGGTGGGTGATCAGATTGGGGCATCAGGGGCTCCCAGCATTTTCAGCTGAGAAGCCTAGAGCAGACTCTGACCCACGTATTTATTCTTTACTTCCAGTGACACATTTTACAAGCGGATCCTCTGTGTTCTTTCATTGGTTAAAGGTAAACTAACCAGGCAGCGAGTGTATATTTACTATAGGTTAAAGACGAAGTAGGAAGCACTCTTTAGAGAGAACAAAGGAAAGAGTCACATATCCTGTGTTCAAAGAACTAATTCATCTGGTGTGAGACATACTCATATTGGTTACTATTTTACAATCCTTTGAGCAGTTTTCCACTTTGGGGGGCTGACTAGGTTTTCCTTGCTGCTGCTCTCAGCAAACAGTATGATTCCTCACACAGGTCAGAATTTGCTCTCAACATGTTCCCCCTTCCTTTTCCTGCAAAGCTAGGTAAGCAAGCACAGCATTACCTTGGTGAACTATTTCTCAGAGTATTCAGGATTTGCACCTGTAGACTACACAAAGAGAAATAAGACAAATTAATAACACAATCATAACAACAACCATAGATTCTCCAAGTGTTTTTACCCAAGTCACACGGTTCAGGGCTGCTATTCAACAGCTCCCTCAAGTATTTTAGTTTCTGGAATTAAAGTCAAATGTGCTTGAGAGGCTTGAATAACTTGTTCCATTAGTTTTGTTATATTAAGTGATACATTTTTAGGATTCCCTTTCAAATGACGCTTTATTTTTTCCCAGTTATGTTCAGTTTTATTATAAGGATGAAGAGTGATAGAATAATTAGAAGTATTCCAATCATGCTGTAATTGAATTCTGTACTCTACACTAACCACCCTGTCCTTTAGCCAGAGAACAGCTTGTTTAAGATTATTAATCTGATTAGCTATACTTTGATCCATCTTTGAGAATTCCACAGTAAGTAGAGTTTTTCTGCCAATTATTAACAAATTTAGCTGTCTGTACTGATGAATGCAGAGCCACCCCTGCTGCAGCAGCTGTAGCTGTGACTGCAATCAGACCCATGATGATTGAAATTAAGGTTGTAATGACTCTCCTGCTACGTTTTAGAAACTGTTATAAAATTTTAGTGAAAATATGTACTGACAGAGATGCATTCTACGGATGAGATAGGCTTACTGGTAGCCATATTCCCTCTTGGGCCTTCACCAATAATATAGAGTTATAAGAATCAAAGATGGAGACATTAATAAAAGAAAACAATTTACAATTTTGACATGTTACTTTGGAGTTTAGAAAATTGATCTGTATCACTTCTCGGCCTTTTGGCTAAGATCAAGTGTAGAAAATTGATCTGTAACCTTCCCACTACCAAAAGATAAGGAGGTTTAATAAAGCTCTGAATCCAAAGAGTTCTATTTTTTTAAAAATAAATTTGAATGAATAATAATGATTGTAACAGGATCCTGTATAATTTCCTTCCCAGACCTTTATCAGTTTCAGGGCCATAAATAATTTTCAAAGTTCTTTTTGCTTAATTCCCAATTTTGGCAAAATTATTCTTGGCTGTGGTTTTACCATGCTCCCATTTCTCCAAAAAATAGGGACATTCGTTTTAGTTTGTATTGGCTTGAAACTGTTATTACTTTTTGTATAATATTTAAGTAATTCAATGCCACTGTTGTACTGGAGCGAGCATAGAAAGTCAACACCAAGACAAAAGTATGCTAAATTGCAGGGTCTTTATTGCCAGCGGCCATGGAGGACTCACATCTCTCCAACCTGTGGCCCCGAAAGGAGGGTGTCAAGACCTTTTATGCCCATAAACCACCTCGAGTGTGAGGGTGAGGGGCTGGGGTGGGGGTGAAGGGCTTCAAACATTCTGAGGGCCAGTGGATTCCATAAATCACCTCCTGGGCAGAGATGAGGGTGAGGGGCTCTAGATATTCTGAGGGCCAAGGGACTTTGGATATTCCAGCTGTTACTTAGTGGTTTACAGAAGTCAAGGTAAGCGTTAGTTTACACATTGTCTGGGTATGGGTGGAAATTACAGATCTTAGTTATTCTTATTACAAGTCACAGGGGCCAAGATGGCATGGGTTTGGACTGCTTGCCTGTCACATTAGGGTTACAGAGTTTTATGGGGCTTTTTCCATGTCACACCACGACAAGAGGGCTGACTGGTACAATTAATGCTAAATATCCCCTTAGGGGACCAATCAATAACAATTTCATGGGAATTATTGTGCAGCACCTCAGCCTCTGCCAAAACACAATCTTCCCAAATTAATATTTTTAACTTAGAGGACCATTGTTTATTTTGCCTGAATTTAGGTTTTGGGGGGCAAAACATAGTTGTTTTATTTTCTGAATAATTATAAAAAATACGAAGGCCAGAAATCATATGTCAATAAAGAAGAGTAAGAAATATAAGCCCAGTATGTGAAATTTCCTTTTACTTCTGCCCCAGCTCCAGGAGTACTCACTGCAATGGTGATAACCACCACTCATGACAAGGCTTTAAATGTCTGGATGGTTTTGATACCGGTTGTTGGTTTGGACCTGGAGAAACACAAACAAATCCTCTCCCCCATGTTATTACAGTGTCTTTTTCCCAACTTTTTGTTAATGGGTCTTGCCACCAGATTAATTGCCTTATCGTTTCTTCCTTGGATTGTTTATTCAGGTGTTGTTCGAATACTGTTATTTGTTGTCCTGTTGGCAAGCTTAAATAATTTTAAGTTAATAATGCTAAGTTAAATTGCATTTGTGGGGTTCTATATTCCTTGTCCCCTTTTTTTTTCATTTTTGAAAATGTTGTTTAAGAGAAAGATTATTTGTTTTACAATAGCCTGTTCCTGAGAGTTATATGGAATACCTGTAATATGAGTCATATTTTATTGTTTAAAAAATACTGGTAAGGAATGACTAATGTATTTTGGGGTGTTATTAGTTTTTATGAAGGAGGGAATTCCAATAATGGCAAAATGCTGTATTAGATGTGTTTGACACAACCTGATGATTTACCAGTTTTACAGGTTACCCAAACAAAATGAGAAAAACTATTTACATAAACGTGTACATATGTTAACTTTTTAAAAGATGAAACGTGGGTAACATCCCTTTGTTACAAGGTGTTTGGCTCTAACCCCTCCCCTCAAGGGTTTACACCTCCTGAATTGGAGGGAGAATTGACTAACTGACAAGTTGAACAGGATTGAATAATCCTTTTAGCTTCTTTCCAGGTTAGATTATATTGACTTTTTAGTCCTGCTGTGTTTAGATAAGTTAGCGTGTAAAAATGTTGAGCAGCAAATAAGACTGCAGCCACTAGTTGATTTGTAGACTGATTGCCTGCTGTGGGGGGCCCTGGAAGAATAGTGTGAGCTCTAATATAAATACTGTAAAAAGGATGCATTTTATTTTTTACTTCTGTTTGTAATTGAGTAAATAGTTTCATAAGTTGATCATGTGTATTAAAACACAGTTGAGCACAGTCAGCAGAGTAGAGTGTACAATGTGTGCAGAATTAGAAATTACATTAGTAGGCTTTTTGAAATTTGGTAATACCTGAATGACAGTTACCAGCTCTGTCTTTTGAGTTGATGTATAAGGAGTTTGAATAGCTTTGCTTTCAAATGCTGAATAAGAAGCTTTACGCTTACTAGATTTATCTGTAAAAACATTTTTTGTGTTTTTAATGGGATTTGATTTAGTGATTTGGGGTAAAATTCAATTGGTCAATTTTAAAATTAAAAATTTTCTTTTTTGGATATGATTAAAGTGCCCACAAAATTTTCCAAATAGATTTATTACATTACACTATTAATATAGCCTTGCTGAATTTGAATTTTTGTAAGAGGCATTATTATTCTTTTTGGATAAATTCATGTAATTTTACAACTCGAGACCTCCCCATTTCAATTAATGTTGTAATTTGGTTTAAATATAGAGTAAGAATATGAATGCTATTGTGAGGTAAAAGCCACTCCACTAAGTCCTGATTTTGAATAACTCCCGTAGGAAAGTGTTGAGCAGGGAAAATTAACAATTCTAAAGGCTTATTAGGATTAATTCTATTTACTTGAATTTTATGAATTTTTTTCTTTAATTACTTGCAATTCCATTTCAGCTTTCTTAGTTAACTTTCGAGGACTATTTAGACTGGAATCTCCTTGAAGAATAGAAAACAAATTACTTATAGCATAAGTTGGAATGCCTAAAGTAGGTCTTATCGAATTGATATCTCCAAGTAACTTTTAGAAATCATTTAGAGTTTTTAAATTATCCCTCTTGAGGGACAGCTTTTGAAGTGTTATAGTAGTATTTTTTACCAATGTGCCCAAATACAAATAAGGAGTTGTAGTTTGAATTTGATCTGGAACTATTAGTAACCCAGTGCATTGAATGGATTTTTTAAAATGGTTATAGCGTTTTATAAGTAATTTTTTATTTGGTGCAACACAAAGAATATCATTTATATAGTGAATAATATAACACTGAGGAAATTCTTTTCTGGTGGGCTTAATAGCTTGGCCCACTTAAGTTTGACAAATTATAGGACTCTTTAACATCCCTTGGGGAAGCACTTGCCAATGACATTGTTTAGCAGGTTTTTGATTTTTTACTGAAGGAATAGTGAATGAAAATTGCTCACAGTCCCTTTTTGCCAAAGGAATAGTAAAAAAACAAACAAAAAACAGTCCTTCAAATTAACAACAGTTAGTGGCCAATTTTTTTGAATCATGGTGGGTGAAAGTAGTATAGCTGCATTAATTACTTTAAGATTTGTTAAGATGTTTTATTTTTTAGATTTTTTAAATTACAAAAACAGGAGAGTGTTAAGGTGAAACTGTGGGTACTAACTATATGTCCTTTTTAAAAATTGTTTAGTAATTAAGTTTTTTAAAAAATTTCCAGTTTTTCCTTTGTAAGTGGCCATCGGTCTATCCAAATTGGTTTATTGTTCAACCATTTTAAAGCTATTTGTTTTGGAGGTGTAAGAATGGCTGCCATTCAAAATGATATCCTAAACCATGTTGAGAACTTTGTTTCTTCTAACGGTTCCTTTAAACCCTGTAAATCTTTTCCTAGTACCATCTCAGGCACATAGCCCATGTCCTGCATCATTTGCTGACTTTGGGAGCTATACGATTGTTTAGATATTAAGACTTTCGGCTCCCCACTGCTGTAGTAAGTTTCTTCCCCACAAGTTAGTAGGAATCTGAGTCACAATAGGCTTAATAGTTTCAGGGTGTCCTTCAGGCCCTTCACAGGGAAAGATAAGACTGTTTTGATAAACTTTTGAGGCCTGCCCTACTCCTACCACATTAAACTGAGCATTTTGTACAGGCCAGGAAGAAGGGCCAGTGCAAAATAGAAATAATTGAAACATCTGCAGCAGTATCAACTAAACCTTTAAATCTCTTTCCTTGAATATTGACTTCACATGTTGAGCGTTTGTCTGTAATTTGATTTACCCAATATGCAGCTTTACCCTGCTTATTTGTACTTTTAAATCCTCAAATCCTTTTATCATTTCTAAGGTCTGCTTTTAGTCAAATTGTCTCTATTTGTAGATGACATGATTGTATATTTAGAAGACCCCATCATCTCAGCCCCAAATCTCCTTAAGCTGATAAACAACTTCAGCAGTCTCAAGATACAAAATCAATGTGCAGAAATCACAAACATTCCTATACACCAACAACAGACAAGCAGACAGCCAAATCATGAATGAACTTTCATTCACAATTGCTACAAAGAGGATAAAATACCTAGGAATACGGCTAAGAAGTGAAGCACCTCTTCAAGGAGAATTAAAACCACTGCTCAAGGAAATAAGAGAGGACACAAACAGATGGAAAAACATTACATGCTCATGGTTAGGAAGAATCAATATAGTGAAAATGGCCATACTGCCCAAAGTAAATTTATGGATTCAGTGCAATTCCCATTAAACTACCATTGACATTCTTCACCGAATTAGAAGAAACTATTTTAAAATTCATATGAAACCCAAAAAGAGCTCATATAGCCAAGACAATCCTAAGCAAAAAGAACAAAGCTGGCAGCATCATGCTACCCAACTTCAAACTATACTACAAGGCTACAGTAACCAAAACAGCATGGTACTGGCACAAAAACAGACACATAGACCAATGGAACAGAATAAAGAACTCATAAAAAAGACTGAACATCTACAACCCTCTGATCTTCAACAAACCTGATAAAAACAAGCAATGGGGAAAGGATTCCCTATTTAATAAATGGTGCTAGGAGAACTGGCTAGCCATATGCAGAAAATTGAAACTGGACCCCTTCCTTACACCTTATAAAAATTAACTCAAGATGGATTAAAGACTTAAAGGTAAAACACAAAACCATAAAAACTCTAGAAGGAAATCTAGGCAAAACCATTCAGGACATAGGCATGGGCAAGGATATCATAATGAAATCTCCATAAGCAATTGCAACAAAAGCAAAAAATGAC